GGGAGTGTTTTCGTGGAATCTGGATGTTTAGCCTTCGCCAGAGCAACGTCAATTTTCGAAACCCCGTCACATGGATCGACAACGGTTTTCAGACTCCTGACAACAGGAACGACAACGGTTCTTGAAATATTGACGTCCGCTGATAGCAGGTGTGTAATTGAGACCGACACGAGTAGCGACTATGTATGCCCGCGAATCCGTCAAGCTAAATGCTACGGGTTCCTTAGTTTCGACACCCGGCGCACAATCCGAACTGTTGTAATCTGACATTTGATTCCCCACCAGAGTCGTACAATGTACCAATTTATCGATATTGGCTGGATATTTGAGCGTGAATGCTGAGCAATAAAAGAATGTTTATTTTGAGGATCGGGTCCACTGAAATTTTCTGAGGAATCGGAAAGTTTCTAATGTTGGTTCTCCGACTTGCGGTCAGATTGCTTGGGGGGCATTCTGTAGTATAGGAACAGTTATCCGAGGAGTGTTAAGCAAAAACTTAAAGGTAACAAATGTAGTAATAAAAGTACAAAAGTAGATAAAGATATATATTCTCAGTAGATTTCCCCAGACTATACATGTGTTGCTGTCAACATGTATATGCAGTCCAAGGGTTAAGCGCCACAAGCGAGTGTTTGTGGTTATTGACCGAATAGTGATTTGGCTCTGGCAAATCACGTGCAGTGGAAACACGGTGCCACAACACATATTAATATCAGCAAGCACCCGTTTCACTTCCGACAATGTTGTTGCATTACTATGAAGCTCGAATCACAGCATAGCTGCGGATGCTCAACTGCACCCATTGGATCTCGAAAACTCAACGCTGGTATCACCGATTTCCAACAACTGAAAGGTCTACCCAAATGTACTAGAAGACAGCTGAACATCCTTGAGATTGTGGTTTGTTTAAGGTTGTTGATGAAGTCGGTGGTACCAATATTGCTTGTTAATGGAAGCCACACGATCAAAGTCAACTACTGGCTGCGAAATACTATCCACAATGTTGAAACCTACTATATAACAGTTTTTTCAATTGACACAAACACTTTCAAGCCGAGTAGGCAACCTTCATCGTGATTAACGTATAGTTGAGGGTATACGATGCTTTGACGAATTGTACCTTACCAGGACTGGCAACCAAAGAAAATGGATATGGCTATTATCTAAGCTCCAAATAACTAATGAGTTGACTATTCACAGATATATGTTAGAAATGCACTGTATTGTAAGGTTTATACCCAGGGCTCTGGCTACAGTAGTATAAATTTATCTACCAAGCCGGTTATAACGGCTTATCGTAGAGTCCTTATGATGGCATGACGTGTATTGAGTCGTTGGTGAAGGAAGTGCTGAAACAAAGGTGGGTTCTCAAGGACTATATGATGGCGTAGTAGTTGTCGAAGTAGCTACTGAGGTGTGAGGCTTTCTTCAAAGCACTGGTTTTCTAGTAACATTATTGACCGAATTTCAAACTAGTTGGCTCATGTTCTTCAATTTTGAGCGTGGTGATGTCAGCACCAGTGTTTAGCGTCTTTGATCTCAAGCATTTCAAATTCGAAGAACTTCCGTTCCAAATCAGAAGTATACAAATGAACGAATTATGAGATGACGCAAAAATTGGTCAGTCAGTGTTGGATATGAACCCAATGGCCATATGTTAGCGATCAGGTTTTGGTTCTGTGTCCCATGACGATCTGGGCTGGGTTCAGGACAAATACCGCCTCATGAAGCTTATGTCTGGTAAGTCAAGTCCAACAACTTAAAATCCCACAGTGCAGGCAGTGAAGTCACATTAAATGATAGCACGCATGACACTAGTACTGCCAAGTAATACTTCGCCTTTGTGTTCGCAAATTAGGGTCAGAGGATGCGCGAATTTGGTCGCATCCCTGAGAACGCGATGAACAATTAGGATATCACGCGAAAAAGTCCATCAAAAAGCCACACGACTAAAATAAAGCCATTAGTGACTCTGGAAAAGCCATTTGGTACTGCCAACACTGCTTAGTATCCCCTTAAGATGCTAATTTACCCCCATAAGGCGAGCAAAGTAGGTCCAAATGGCCGCAAATGACCTCTCATGCGTTATTTGCATGTCGTCATGCCGCAAGACTCAGTCCCCTTGCACTCAACATAAGCAGGAAGGGTGCCCTGCCGGGTCATCAACATTTTGCAATTTCCTGTGTCTAGCCAGCAACACGACCCGCGTGCTCATAACAGACCACCCCTTCCATGTGAGCAAGGCAAATGAAAATCAGCTATAGTCAAAGCAAATCACGATGTTAACGTGATTAATCAAAGCTGGTGTGGTTTTTACATCTTCACGCCACGTCGTCGACATCGTCTGACACCCTAAACACGACGTCAGGCGGCGGACTTCGTCCATACAGGGTCGCGCTCATCGAGGGATAAACAAACATGAAATTTCATGCCTGATGAGCAAGATGAAGGTCAAGACTCAACTTAATGAGGAATATCAAGGTTTCCAGCTAGTTTTCAAATCTTTCCAAAGCGTGTAAGGACCCTATGTCGCCAAGAACACGCCCAATACCCGTCCCTGGGTTCCCATCCATCAGCTAAGGCTTTATATCATACAACGCCACTCCCAGCGCTTGAAGAAAACCAACCACTGGTCCATGGGGCATTATTGAGTCCTTCTAGAGTCTCATTTGTTTTCCCCACGGTCAAATACCTCGTCCAGTGGCAAATTTCGAGGCACCCTCAATGGAAGAACATACCAGGCAAATAGGTTCCACCTTTGAGCCCGTTAACATCGTGGGATATGTTGCCGTCATCACCAAGTGTTTTCTGATTAAACCATGGCCCTGAGCTTCCACTACTTGCGCCGATCATGTTACACCTTATCTTTCCATCGTGTGACATTGGTGTCCAACTCTTCCAACGACAACGGCAAGACCTCAACAGGCCTCAGCCAAACACATGGGGGTGGAAAGCATGACAGTGTCAGCAGTCAGATGGTTGAGTTCTTTGGGGAGCGAACGACCATCTCAAATATGTCAACAAATGAAAGGCAGAATCCGCTGAATGCGATAATAGATGACATCCCAAAAGACACTCAAGCTCAACACGATAGCTATGATCACTGGGAACGGCACGGCAACTTGTTTAGTCCATGATTGGCGTCAGATCAATACCCAGCAGAGAAACCCGACGTGACACCCAGAGAGACCCCGAGCAACCTGAAAGTGCGAGGGAAAGTGGTTGTTGGCTGTTGATACCACGTATGGGGCCAATTATGAGCATCTAATGATGGGTCTGTTCTCCTGGGCATGGAAAACTGTACCCTCTATTGGCCACAACAGGTGTGGCGGGGTAGTCGTGAGGCTCGCGCTTTTGTCAACAGCGATCCAAACGACAATTGTGTGCAGGTATAGACACTTATGGGGCCCAGTGATTGATTAATGAAGGCAATGATAAGTGGAGCCTATTATTGTGGATTTGTCGTTCGCTTTGTCGATACAGTTTTGTTGCTCCCCTCTCGGGGCTTACTGAAGACGCGTTTGTTCGGGTAAACGGATAACCTACGAGCCGTAGTTGTCGATTGGTACGACTGTGTGCCTCCCCTTGCGAGCGAGATCCTGGGGAAACCACTCGTGCGACAGGGTAAGCAATCAGCCATCAACAGAAAAGATTGTTTTTCAAGGCGTAATTTTGAAGCTTAGACGCCGGTGACATTATCGATGGTAGCTGTTTTGGTATTTCAGGATCAGATTCTACAATTTGCATGCCAGTCCTACTTATTTCGCCTGATTGGAAGCTCCAGTGAAATCTTGGTCATCGATTTCCACATTAGACGATTGCGCACCAAAAAAACAAAGGATAGGGGCAAGGGAGACACTAATAAACGACATATAGAAGTGTGCGAGGAGGCATCAGTAGTCTGATTTTGGAGAGGTATAATTGATATTTCAGCTCTGCTATTGGCATTCGCTCAAAAATTGCCTTCTTTATCCTCCATTACACTCAAGCATATCTTCCTGAGGCTCGCATGGACCTGCCAAGCACGGAGAGAAACCTGAAGCCCAATACAAACAACTTATTGTCTACAACCGATGCCTATCCCCACCAACTATAACCGACTATTAACCCCTGTATCGAAACCTATACTTTTCGTATTCTAATTGTGAACGACAAATGTCTCTAAGCTGATCTACTATTATTGAAGTGTGGTTTGCATGAAATGATTTACAACCAACGCTAATTTCAACTACAAGTATCTTTGTTTTTCACTTTTTGCATTACTATAAAATATACCGAGAGAGTTCAATTTTAGTTGAGTTTCATCCAGCCGTCAGCCGTAAGAATCGCTGTCCGAATTTCAACTAACGTTTCCAGCTCTTGCCACAGAGAGTCTTTGCCATATTCGGGGGCGGCGATGCTGCCACCGTCAGTATGAGAATTTGAAGTCTCGGGACGGGTGGGGCCAGTACCAGCCCCAGGATTCAAAGTTCTCGCCACTGAGGCGGTGTCAGCACGGCTCCCTCCGACAGGACAAAAATGTGGAGTCTCGAGACTGTTGCGGCCAGTAGCAGCCCCAGGATCCAACGTTCTCGCCTTTGAGGCAATGGTTGCAGCGTGTGTCACTTCAGGGTAAAGCACTTTTGCGGCAGCATCTTCCATCAATTTCAGGACGTCAGCGGCCACGAATGGCTCATCTTGCGAGTCACAGTCAAGCCTAACGTTTTTGAAACCACTACAGTCGAAAAGGTAGTCGCCAGCGTCGTTGTCATCTTCGCAGACAGGCAACTTTGAGCTCAAAAATTGCTCCTGCTTGATGAAAGCGGCGCCGGCAGCGCCCTTCTTGACCAAGTGAGATCTGAGAACGATGGCGTAAAACACGAGACCCGCAAGGATGAAGCTCCAAGGCAGCGTCGCAGGACGTACCGAAATCGGCGTGCAAACGGGACAGGATTCAACTTGTTTCAACGGTAACTCCTTCACGGCGCTGAAGACAAGCGGCAACAGCGACATGATCTTATACAAAATCGGCGGGCTAAAGAGCTTGAAAATTAGTTGCAACAGCGACAAGATAGTGGACAAACTCGGCGGGGTAGGGAGGTTGAAAGTCTGTGACAGCAGTTGTGCTGGCGATGCAAGTAGCATCACCGGCGCCAGTGGGGTGACAACAATCGAGGACGGTGCCGAAAATTCGGCAGGCACCACAAGCAGCAAATCCGCCAGCGAATTGGCCACTTGGAGGGTGATGCCTTCAATGCGGAGGGTTTTCCTGACAGGCGGGGGAAGGGTGGGTTGCTTCAGGTACAGAGGCGAGACGGGGATTTCGCCGTTGTAGATGATGAGGAAGACGGCAGCCTTGATGAGAACAATCAAGTGGAAAGGGGTGACTTCGATGAAGGCGTGGACGGTTCTGGTGAACACAAGAAGAAGCGCAAAGGTGAAGACGGAGGTAGCGAACTTCATCGAAAAGAGATGGTGTGATTGAATTGATAGCAAAATGACACAGCTTTATAGTATTCTTGGTGTTGGTGAAGCCATCGTGCATCAGGGTGTTTGGTGTATCCATCTCAGTGCAATCACTAAGGTGTAGTCATTTCGGTGTAGTCATTTCTGTGCAGTCATCTCAGTGTAGTGAAAACCGTACATTGATGAAAAGTGACTATATTTCACGTCATTTCTTAAATGTCAGATCTTATTTTTACAATAGCACCATTATTGATGGCACGAACTACACCAACTACTGTTGTCACCAAAGATGATTACGGATGTAATTAAGCCAGAAATTAACAAAAGAAGGAAACTTTTTCAAGAAAAGGTCCCAGGAGGCGTTTAGTAAGTCGCTAGTTCACTCTTAGGTATTCAATCTATACCATGCATTGGCGTTTGTTCGGGAAAACGAATAACCTACTAGCCGTAGTTGTCGAGTCGTGCGACCATGGGCATCATCCCCCTTACGATTGGATTTGTGAAGGGGGGGGGGGGGGGG